CTTATACCACTGTGTAGAGCAGTCACATGCTGCCCCTCATATTCATTCACCTGAGTAATTAGAGACACGCTACCCCAGTAGGGAAAATTGTCACAGGATATTCAAGATGCTCCTGTAAATGTGAGAAGAATCTAAGCATATGGATCACCAATTCCTCATACATTAGTCTTGGGGCTGCACAACTGTAGAATGAACTCCACACTGATGGAGAAACAGTTAGCCTAAACACTCTCCTTTCTCCCTGTTGACATATCCTAACCACCAGTTCTTCTGCAATTTTCCCCCTTTTTCACTAGGGGATCTTTGCTCTAACTGATCCATCCTGACTGTTTTAATAATCATCTCAATAGAATAAAAGGACTAAAAAGCCCCAAGCTGGATTCAATATGCTCAGAAGATGAAAAACATCTTTTTATAGATGGTTTTGCATACTTTCCAGAGAAGAAACATTCCTTTCTATGTATCATAAAGTTTTGTAATAAACCCCTTAACTTCTTTAACGTCTGAACTATGAACATAGAAAAGTGTAGATCTGTTATATCTTGAAACAATAAGACACCTAGAACACTTTTTGCCTATACAGGCTAGGGAAAGAGCATGATGAAATTATGGAATTAATGAAAAATGTAGTCCGTGAGTAATTTTCAAAGGCTGGGTACAAAGAAGGACTCCCACAGTATGCACTTTTCTTTCCATTCAAGAAGTGAACTGAGATCAAAAGTGAATTTAATTTAAGGCAAGTGCAAAACCCATCTCAGAAGAGAAATCAAATTCACAAATCAAGAAGTAGAGTAGCTAAGTAGCAAAAGCACTAAAGAAGAGGTGTGTTTAAAGAGCCGGGAACAAGAACCATAAAAGATCAAAGACTGTAGTTATGTTGCAGAATAAACAAGTTTCATTAACAGATGTATCATACAAATTGTGATAATTGTCAGGGCAGACACGACAACAAAGAAAACGTATGTTGAGAGGAGTCTAACAGGCAATAACTTAAGGAGGCTGAGCTCTGTCTGCACACCAGTTTTATCAGCTCCACTGACAACAATAATTACAAAAGACACAATATTTACAGAACATTTTATCCTTTTAAAGGGATGTAAGCAAAACTTTTACACTTTTTCTTTCTTTTTTTTCCACTTTTTTTTGTTTATCTTATTCTATATAGAAGGGCAGGAGTTACAGAACTGCAACACCATATTTTAGTGACACTCAGAAAAGTCTAAAGAAATGAGAGAAGTACGATAAGAAGATTGTAAATTAACTCTGAGGAAACACTGAGCAAGGTGAAAAAAAAATCAGAACACAAGAAAACCTGTAAAGGATGGCAGAGTCTTATCTAATATATAGGATTTCTACTTTGTAGAAGTTTTTACATGAAGGATGTAAATAGTAATTGCTCCTTCTGTCCACTAAAGGTATATGCACTTACAGTAAATGTTAGACAGTACAGGGAAGAAATGGAATTTTAGCTTCAGTTATGTTGTGCTATACTATGGTATATTATGAAAAGTGCTTCTCTCACCTATGTCAGGGAAGATATCCCATGCTCCTGGTTCTCAAGAAGAAAGTCTTATGTGAGCACAACAGAGAAAAAGAGTACATTGTCCTTGAAAACAAGTTGCTAAGGTGCATGACTGCTGAACAGGGAGCTCTGATTAGATAATTTTTGTCACTATATATGTCCTTTTCCACTTTCTTTCCTCTCTTAGATTCTTTCTTTTTACTACTTTTATAACACTGTCCCAATTTCACTGTTATTATATACAAATTTAGGAATTTACATTATGGTTGTTTTAAAAAGCCACTTTGGGAGATTTTTTTTTGTTTTGGTTTGGTTTGTTTATTTATTTTAATTTCCCTTATCTACAAGGTGTGACCATTCCTCATAGTTTTAAATCAGGGTTAGTCATCTGAATGGGCATTACCTTCTTTTTGCGTTCGGGAAGGATTTGTCTTATTAGCGTAGATACGTAGTCAGGATAGACCTTTGTCCATGTATCAACCAACTTATTTGATAACAAATATTTTCATTAAGATTTAGATACATCTTTCTGATAAAGAGTCAGACAAAAAAAACAGGCTAGAGATGGAGTCCATGGAACTGGTCTAACTGAAAATTCTTCAAGTATTTTAAATGTTTATTCATTCATACTTATCTTACTTTAAAAAAAAAATTAAAATATTTTCAGGCCTCTAATTCCATGCTTATAAGTAGAAGATCTAATGTCTGATACAGAAAAGTAGCTTTATTCTATTTCATTACCAAGAAATTTTTTCAAAAAATTATATTTCCCTTTAAATTCTTCAAAATGGATCATATACATTTTTCCTTGCACTATGAAGACAGATGTAATTGATACCACTTTCACTGAACATTGCTTTGTTGACAATATATGTAAGAAAGGTATTCCGTAAAGAGAAAAAGCCCTACTTATTAGGGTACACATTAGAGTGCAATAAAATAATAAGGAAACAAGCTGTTAGAAACACAGATGGCATATCTTGTTCAGATCACCTTGTTTACTGTGTAGGCTGTAATTTAGTTACTGGAACAGATGTGCCCACTGTACATAACCTAACCCCCATTTTCCCTCTTCCATTAATACTGTCAAGTGGCCAGATGAATAACAGACACCTGATTTGCTTTCTAGAACAGATAGAAACTAAGAAAATGTAATCTACTGTGGGTATAATGGAGTCAACTTATTTAAAGTACGGAATTACTTCTAATAATTTCACTGAGTTCTACAGAACTTCATACTCTTCAGATTTGTTAGCTGGCCTGTACCAGCTGGTTGAGATAAATTCACTTGAAATTGCCTGTACACTGTACCAAGCTACCTCCAAATTCTGCTCACTGTGATGATGTAAAACAGATGGCTCAAAGTTTTCAGTTAAAATTGTTTTGACAGAAAACTGGTTTTCAGCAGAGTAATTCTTGTTTGTGTGAAAAATGTCTGCTTCTCATGGAAAATCTCATCATTTTTCCCCTAAAAAACAGCCTTCCAAACATGACAAGACAGAAATATTTTCCTGTAGAAGTCCCCAAGTCCAAGACCTGGGATTTATTGTGTAAAAATTTTGTATGCTCAAGCTTCTCTTTGGGCCAGATTTCCCAGATGGATTGTCTTCCATGATGCAATAAAATTTCACCAAGTCTTTGCTGGCTTAAAGAGAAAAGTCTGTGGAATGACATAAAACAAAACATTTGGTGATGGACTTCAGCTGATAGGAAATAATGTATGAAAATTTCCCCTGAAATTCTCCCATACACAATTTTTTTTTCCAAAGCTTTTCTTGTGTGGCTCATTCTCTACAAATATACTTTTGACAGTTAAAGAGAAACATTGTCCCTTTCTTTAGAAGAAGCCTTCTGTCATATCTCTTACGAACATTTCCTTTTCCTTTGATTTAAAATAATACGACTGCTGTTCTTATGTTCTTATGTTCTCACGATTTGTGGGTGGATGAGTAGTAGGATCCATAAAATTATACATATTATTCATCTTTTTTAGTTTCCTGAGTTCAATCCTTATTCCAAACTTTTATTGACGTATATTTTTCCTACTCTTTCTCCTTTCTTTCTCAACAACCTTCTCTTGCTGTAGTGATATAGTCAGCAGGTTTGATATTTGAACCAGAGATAATGGTAAACAATGATTATTTATTATTTGCTTTTAATTTAAAAAAAATAGCACATTTATTTTCAGCTAGTATACTTTAAAGTAAATTATTTAAGAGACATTGTTAAGAAAAGATGAGAGAAAGCAGAATCTGGTAGCTCATATATATAGCCAAAGAACCTTCCTTTCTTTTCTGATTTATGTGACCTGTTTCACATTTTTCTGATAACACCAAAAGGACTTTAGGCAGTGACATTTCCCCAGAATGTTTGAGTGACATTCTATCATATGTAAAATAAAGTAAAAGCATTTTTACATCTATAAACAAATAAAATTGTTAAAATAATTTATTTAGAATTTTATTTCCTCTAGAACTGCATTTCCTAAGGAAAAAGAGAAACAAAAGTCAACAATCTTCCTAATACATGCTTCTTCATGAGCTTCTAGTAACCTCTGGACATGTAGATATGAAATATCTCAGGAGGTTAGGTTGGTATTAACATTTTTTCATAGGGAATTATATAAGAATGAGAGTTGAGAACAAATTTAGAAAAGTTAGAACATTTTTAGACTGTTTTCATTTGACTATATGTCAATGGAATAGCAATTTTAAATTTATGTCTTTTTAACTGGTTTGCATGTTTCAGTCAAATATACAAATTTCTTGTGAAATATTTATATTAAAATAATGTTTTCAATAATGAATGTTAAGTAGTCACTGAAAGAGGAAAGTGCAGAGTGGGACACCAAAACCAACCAACAAAAAGACCAAAACCCTCATTGTATTACTCTTAGGGTAAATTATTCAAGTCCAGCAGTTACCACCATGGATTTTGAGACAAACTCAGACTGGTATTTTCTTTTTTTTTCTTTTTTTTTCTTTTTTCTGTTTTGTTTTTTTTTCCATTATTTATTTAATGAACAAATAGATCTACATGAAATTGGGCTAGTTGTTAAGTATTTAGCAAATAGAGAGCCAAATTTATTATTTTTTGAATATGATCTATATAGTACTAATCAGTATATAAGTCATGATGCTACAAAGTTATGATAAAGCATGATTGTCTGCTTCTTTTATTCCTTCAGCAAGTTCACTGTACTATCAGTTTTGGGAATGGTCTTGTTCTTCTCATGTTAACTGATGATACTTCATTCCCACAAAACAATTATCAGGGCTAACGATGTTTCAGCTGGACTTCCCATAATAAATGTTATCTACTTGTATTCCTTTATTTTTCCAAGAAAATTGTGGGTTAGATCATATCCATTGCTAGGGGACAGGACAAGTACAATGAACAAAGCAATTAACTTTTCTTGATTCACTATGACTAAATTATCACCCCCTCAACTATGAAGAGTCATGATGTGAGAGTTTAGTTTGGAAGGCACCACAAATATAATTTGTGAGCCCTCAGTACACAGTCTGTGCAGTCTTTTGGATCTTTTTACTTTTACACAAAATTCTGAAGATTCAGGGATACAATACAGAGAAAAGTAAGATCACATCTTCCCCATATTAATTATTGTAATTTGCTAGTTACACTCATATCTTTTGGTTTGTTGTTTTAGTTTTTTCCTTTTCTTTTTTTGTCAGCTCACAGTTGTAAAACTTTGTAAATTAATGGAAATATACAGTGTGTAAAGTACAGCTGATATAGCATAGAGTTTATTCCTTCAGAAAGAAAATTGAATTTATCATTATACATTGGCTTCTTGATGGATTTCCATATTGTTGTTTTTTTTCAAGAGTTCAGTTTCAATCTTCCTGAAAGATGAAATTAGAATAACCTGTAATAATGAAAATATTGGCACAAAAAATTACTTATTCAATCTAACATGCCTTTGGAGATTATCTTACAGTTATATTTGTAAACTATATATGCAGCAATCTGTTCTTCTGTCTAATGCAATTTTGGTCAATCTGAGAATAAAACAGAACAGAAAGTGTCTCAGGGATTGATGGGCAGCAAGAGCAACATCCTGAGTGGCAAAAATCTTACCATAAGGTGCACTGCCTATAGGCCTTGGAAGCTTGCCGACAGTCTATTTTTAGAATTAAAAAAAAATAAATTAGTTATAACATGTTGTTAGTCTACTGGCAGGTAGATATAGGTCAATATTTCATTCCCGTGCTTGCATTTTTTTTCCAGCTCAAATTTGCATATCTAATTGATCTCTTTGCCTGTATAATTGATCAAAAGAGAGTGTGATGCAAAAGGAGATGACAGAGATATGCAAACTCACATGTTATGAAAGGTGGAAGCTATGACATATTATGGGGTAATTTTCTTGTTCTATTTTCTTGCTGGCTGTATTATACCAAAGTGTATGTCATGTTGTCTCATTTCAGTCCTGCCTTATGTTAATTGTTGCATAACTTTATCATTCAGCATTCTGTGATAAGCTGTCTCCTTTATTTCATGGGCAGTAACAATACTAGTTGCTCAGCAGTGATAATAAAAACATGTCCTAATTTGCCATTATAGTACCCATCCTCACAGACTTCTACACACTGTGTTTCACATGCGTCTGGAAGAAGAAAGACAATAATATAATTACTAAATTCCAACAATAACTTCTTTTATCTTATGCAGAAGTCAGAAATGTCCCTTCATGTCTTCAAATCATGCTGTAAATTCAACTCAGTTATTTAAAACAAAAAACTGCAATACAAAGTGTTAAATAAAAAATGAATAGTTGTGCCCTGACCTCTGACCAAAACTGCTCAAAGTCCGCAGGAGTCAAGAAGGACTTGCCTGGCCTATAGATAACGTTGCTTTCTTTTAACAGAAAAGCTTCTTTAGTTCTACATTTAAAAAAGACTCTACACTAAAGATGAAAAAATAACTATTACAATTAAGAGAATCTAACTATTTACAAAATTATTATACTTTTTTCCTAAAAGTGTATTTCTGATATTTTGTCCACAAATCATCTCTTCACAATTTGAGACAAGGCCCATTCAACAAAACCACTAATGGTTTATTTTGCTTTTCTGATAGCGAGTGGTCTTGTCACACTGTGTGGCAGCCAAAATGTCACATATCTTTGTGTTCATTCTCTTTTAAAAATAACAGGAAAAGAGATCTGAGAATCAATTCTTGTGTGAGAAGGATTTATCCTATATTCTGGAAAATAAAGCTCATTTTAAGTTGTTACTCAGCAGTAAGCAATGGTTATATGTTTAATGTCATTATGTTACATGTTGATTAATGTCAACACCTTTGAAATTTTATATAGTGCCTTCTATCACAGACATTTCAATCTTAACATTTGCCTTTTTTACCAACTAAAACACATATTTTAAAGTTCTTCACCAAATTGCAAGGGACACTGGAGCAGTGTGAGCAGCATAAGTGGTGTCAGTGACAGAAGGAAGCAGTAAGGGACACGAGGGATACATAAGGACATGGAGAGGCTTCATCTGAGCAGGGATTTTTCCCTGAGCAGCTCAGACCAGACTCATTTATTGTACGAGTCAGAAAGGGACCCAGCCTGCACCCATCAGTGCAGGTGATGTAAACAGGATTAAAAAATCAGCCCAGTCAACTTCGGTAGACGCATGTATTGTGTATCTCCCAGTAGGCAAGAATGTGGCAGCATGGTGACCATCAGCAAAAAGTCATGTCCTCTGCTTCTCCAGAGCTTCTAGCACCCAGTAGAACCAATGCAGACACACAGACAAAACACTGTCAGGACATGCAACCACTTAGGTTTCAGGCTGCACAGGATATGCCTGAAGATAAAGGATGACATGAAGCACACCTCTGGGACGTGTAATCAGGTAAATGAACTGTTCTGCTTGATGATTGAGCTTTGGGAAGAGGAGAGCAGACTGATGAGCCTTTCAGAGTCTGAGAAGGAGGTGAACCAATGGTCTGACATTTCTGTTACACACAAATCAATTCTATATGAGTAGGGTAAGTCCAGTGTCTGTTTTGTGTCAAGATTAAGATGATATTACAAGGGATAAGGAGAGAAGTAAATTACTATTGGAGCTGTAAGAGGAACATCTGCTTACCCTCTCAGATACCTTTACAGAATAGGTATCAGTTTCTGTGAATGGTAGATGAAGGACATGACAAAATAGAAAAGGAGAAATCTGTGCATTCTCACTGAGGCCAAATCAATCAATCCCTTGAGTCAAGAGCTGTATTAAGACCAACACTGAGAAGAAATGTCAAGTTATGATCATTGCTGATTCCCTCCTCAGCAGAATGAAGGCATCCACCTGCAGATTGGATCACCTTTCCAGGGAAGTTTGCAGACTCCCTAGGGCCTGAATCAGGGGTGTCACCAGACAACTCATAAACTCCTGCTCTTTCACATGGGTACAGATTATGTTGCAATAAGAAATCTAAGGTCAATCAAAAGAGATTCCGGGGCCTTGGAATAAATGATTAGGGAACACAAGTAGTGTTTTCCTCATTCTTCCCACTAATGGGAGGAGACATTGGAAGACTACAAGGCTCATTTGTGAATAGAGAAGGATTCATGGGATATGTGTGAGTAGGTTGGCAGTCTTGGCCATGGTGATCAAGAGGCTGAGTTTATTAATTGTTATAGGTTATAAAATCCCATAGGGGAATTTTTCTTCCTCTGCTCCACTGTAAGGAAAAAAAAATGGAGTGAGTGGGGGGAAGGGAGTCAAGTAGCTTTACAAAAGTCTAAAGCCTTGCTCTCTGTACAGGAAGGGATTTTGCACAGCAGAGGAGCATCAGACCATTTTTCTTCTGTGGCTTTCACTCTGCGTTTAACAGAAACTAGGATACTAGGAAAGTCTCTGCCTTTCAAGGTTTCACAAAAAACCCAAGGATCCTTGACTTGTGACTATATATCCTTGCTAAATATAATTGATATATGTATATGTGTACATATATGTATGCCTATGTATATATACACGCATATAAAAAGTGGACGATTTCTCTTCACAAGTTTTAGTAACCTGTTGACCTCTGAACGATTCTTATTTAGATACCAAAAGCATAGTAAGCTTAGATAAATAACATAAGAAATCTATCCTTTGCTTTTCTATAATGCATCAGTGACATTACTCAAAAGCATAATACATGTACAATACTCCCGTGTCTGTCTAGGAGGCCACATAAATGTTAAATGCTGTGGAGATGAAGACTGAAATGAAAAGTGAAAAATATACATTGGCAATAGCTTATGGAATGGGATTAACAGGAAAGAAATGAAAGCAATCCTTAACATGTGTCTAAGGTCTGCTCTACTTACAATCATCAGATTCTGCTTTTCACCTTAGAAAATATTGAAAGCAAAAATCATTAGCTGAAGCAAATCTTGGGAAAGGAGAATAGATCTTAATTTTTATTAATATTACTGCTGTAATATGCTGAAATTGAGATATGCAGCTGTTTTAGTTCAGTTTTCAACTGGCATCAATAGCAGAGTAATTTTGAAAGGAAAAGATGTGCATTTCCCATATGAATGACTTAAGAGTGTAACTGTTAGTAGACTTATGAAAGAAGCTACTCAGTACAATGACAATATTCTAGACATGTACCAAAGTCTGTAATTAAGTCTTTTCTTTAAGGGGATTTTTGTTTGGTTGTTTTTTTGTTGTTTGGCTTTTTTGGCTATGTCCTCACAGAAAGCAAATATGATCTTTGTGACTTTAAAACATATGGATTTTCTATACAGTTTTAAAAAACCTACTGTTCTCCTGAACTCAATATATTTCCAACAGCAACTTGAAGGAAGGTGCAATGAATTTATCTGAGGTCCTTTCTGGTAAAACTAACTGCTCTCTGTACTGAGCACTTCTGTCTCTCAAGTTTCACGAAGCCAGAAGGAAACAAAGCTAGAATGTCAAGACTTTGCATCCACTGGGACAGTTGTCCACAAATAAAAGTTGCTATTATTTAGTGTTCTTTTTGTATTTTCCTCCCTAGTTTAATAAACTGTTCAGAAGCAATCTTTGTTTTTCCAGTTAAAAGTAAATTAAAGTTATCAGGAGTCACCAGCCTGAAAAACGGAGGATGATAGATTATGGCCACACAAAGCATATATTTCTGAACAGTAATTTGGTGGATAGTAATTTATTTGTTTTTAATATTAATAGTTTATTTTATTATACTATACTTTTAATTGTCTGAATCCTGAATACTTAATTCCTGCCAAAGGAAGTATAATTCTCTGTTTCAAAATTTAACTTACTGCTCACAGATGTGGTCCACTTTTTATTCCTGCTTCATGAATGTTCTCGTGAAGGAGCAAATTGAGACTTTTTGAGGTCTCACTGCTTGTGAGCAGTGCTTCACAAGCTCCCCATGAAAACTCAGGTGTCAAATGCTCATCATTGTCTGCCATCAGTCAGAGAATGAGTGTCATGGCAGTTAGCAGCAGTCATCAGAAGCTCTTCAAGAATGAAGACTGTGTTCCTGTCTTCCAAACCACACAGCAGCTGCAGGTATATTCTACTGCCCTTAAGCTTACCTGAGACAATATTTTGGAGCTCTATGATGTTCCAGCATGCTCCTGTATTCTGGCTTTCTGTTGAAGGATATCTAAAAGAGATATATTGCTTTAATGTTAACCAATTACTTTATAATTACTTGTAAGAAGACAGGTTAAGGTAAAAGTAAATTAAAACTACTCGCCATATCCAGTTACAAAGATTTTTAAATATACAGATGACATAAAAGAGGAGAAAATAATTTTCTCTGTTTACCCCAATGTCAAATACGAAACAATCTCTCGCCTCTTGTTTTATCCAGATGAGGCTCTGTAGATAAATAACTGGAGCAAGTTTTTTGTACCTCTTCAATACCAAGTCTGTTATCACTAAAGAGAGCATCTGGCTGGGAAAGAATGTAATTCTTTATACTCACAACCTTGTTTGTGATTTATTCCAGGTTTCATTTAGATTCTAATCTTCCCAGCCTCATTTTGTTTCTGAGATTGTTGATATTTAGTTTATTTGAGTTTCAGACCTGTCATCTTCTATTATGTATAGACAGTTTATCTGCTCATATCTGTCATATCTGTCTTAACAAATCTTTTACTCTAGAACTGGGTACAACTCTTCTTCTCCCGCTATGGCAATCCTGAGCAAAACCTTTCCATAGACCACTTTACATAAATATGCAAATCAAGAACAGTACTTTCCCTGAAAATTACTTATTAAGACCAGACAGAAGAGTTATTCACCACTCTGGAGCAATAACCTCTTTGAAATCTTTAACCAATTATGTTTTTAAAGACAAATGAAGTACAAAAAGCACATTTAATTCAGATTACCCACTGAAATAATGTTTGAATTCCCCAAGCCCAGAGGGTGAAACTGCAGAAGTCTTGTAGACTATTTAAGACTTCTCTTTTACCAGAGTTTTTCACACATATTTCTATATCAACTGTAAAATCAAATGAAGGTTTCCGAAGATTACGCAGACTCAATGAGTGCAAAAAACACTGTTGTCTTATACACTATAATAATATCTTTCCATGTGATGGATAATATCCTTATTCATAACATGGCAAAAGACAGAGATGAGGCAGATTAAGAAAGGAAACTGAATATGGGTTCCTTCAGCTTTGACTCTTCCTGCCTCTCTCTTTCTCCCTTCACTTACTAGGAGACAAGGAAGGTCAGTACAATAATGTAAGGCAATTAACATTGCGTCCTAGTCATTGAGATAAATTCTGTAATACCCCAAAAATATACACCATGTGCCATTTTCTGGAAATGTTTTTCACCCTCTACCTACTCCCTAAGAGCAACATTCCATTCTTCTCTTTGATGTTCTGCTGAAAGCCAGACAAGAGTTGGATTTGGTCTTCTTCAGCAGATGTTGTGTGACAGAAGGAAAAATTGCTGTTTGCCCAAAGCATGCATTCTCATGTTAAGCCTGATATCAAACCTCTGATGTTTACATATATTTTTACTCCACGCTAGCAGAAATAAAACATCTATACCAGCTATCAAATGAAATTTTACTTTCAGGATTTTTGAAAAAATAACTGAACTGGTGAAATTTCAATGAAAAATGGGCTTAGAAATATATTGACAGTATGAAAATTCCAACTTCCTTACACAAATTTTAACTGAGCTAATACTTGCTTGCCTAGTACATATGTAATGCATGATCAATTGCAGTTTTCTTGTATAAAATGCATTACAATATACAGAAAAACTAAACAAGTTGACAGCTCCAAGATTATGCTTACTTTAATGCATACTTCATCTTACATTTTAAATGACTCAATAATAAGGTCCATAAGTTCTTTTTAAGCCTGCTTTATTGGTGTGACATAGATTTAAATGAGTGACATGTCTTAAAAAGGAATGTGGTCATGTGTAGATTACAGCATAAAACTTGTTAACCAGACTTTGAGAAAAAAATCATGCAACTTAAAACTGATGCAGTGCATTCCAATAATTTCACTTTTGGTAATAAAATTTTAACCAATACAGTATACACTTCAGCCAAGTTAGGTCTTACTGCCAGTCAATGGTCAAGATAAATTCATCCAGTGGGAGCACCAGAGGCTACAATGTATGCATGCCTCTCCAAATGAGCTTGAATTCAATAGTTTGTTTTACAAAAAAAGCTGCAGGATTTCTTTTAACTTGTCTCACTTCTTATAAAAAGGACATTTTTCTATGCAAAAATAGAATTTTCTGTCTCTGCCTTATTGGAAAAACAAAATTCCAAGTCAGCTCAGTGAAAGCTGCTTTGATTATTTTACACTGAAACAGCTTAATAACCCACACCTAAAGATAATCAATACTCAGTAAAAAATACTGCTCAGTAGGATTGAGTTGCTCTTTGTGCTTTTACTTTTACTTTTTACTTTCATTTTTCAAGCCATCTGATGAAGACTGGAAATTCAGTGACATTGCAAGAAGAGGTCATTTTCTGCCTGGAGAAATTCCTCATTAAGTTTCAATTATTTTACCAGTTTGTACAACAGCCTTTCAGTCTTCCTTACATTCCTAGCACATGTAGGTGGCTAATGTTTCTTCACATATGTTTCACAGCAGGTTCTGAACTATTAGAGCACTTAACAACTAAAAGTTCTGTTCCAGTAGACCATGTAAATGTGACCCCTGTTGGTTGATGTGCCTACAGTACCTGATAAGAATCACTTAATCGAGTCCTGCATTGAAAGAAGTGAACAGTGGAGGAAACTGCACTTATCAAATCACACCACGAGCTATAATAACAAAGTAAAATTAAACCACATTTTGGGTGCATTTAAATGAAGCTGTCTGTTTGTTAGGACTAACCAGAATACCTACTTCTTTGGTCTTTTATTTTTCCTTTTTTTTTTTTTTTTTGTGATAGTGTTGTGATTTTACACTTTGGTTTGGTTTGGTTTTTTTTAAATAGGGTAGAAAAACAAAACCAACCCCATTATTTTAGTTTGTTTGCAAGTTGTGTGCAGTGGAATAATGAATGTGGTAGGATGATGTGCCTCCTCCCTAGCTGGAACTCCCTTCTTCTACATGAGAGAGACGCATTCAATGCTCTGCCTGAGACAGTGCAGTGACTAGTTTTTCCATATCTCAAATAATTAGGACAGACTTCAGTCTGAGGAGTCCCGTGGGCTCTTTCCTTGTGACTTTGATCTAAAAGATAAGTCTATTCATGTCAGACACCATCATAACAATTGTTTTTCAAAAATGTGCAGGTGAAAAGTTCCTTACTAATTCAATCACTTTTGTTAAAATTGAGTCTCAGTGTTTGCAAGAGTTTTGATATATATGTGAAATCTTTGCCTGCACATATGTCCATCCACTTTTTTGAAAATTTGCATATTTTCCCACAAAAAAAAATCACCATCACATTGCTTCACATTTAACAGCAGTTTAGTTCTGATCTTCTGTCCTTTGTGAAACATTCATCTTCTGATTGCAAAAAGGCATATTTACCGTGGGGCTTTGTGAGCTTTGAGAGATTCACGTTAACTTTGTCTAGTGTGATATGCTTAAGGTATACATTAAAATCATCCCCAAAGTAAGAAAGAAAAGAAAAAGAAGGAATCCAGGTAAGGTCTTAAAGCTACTACTTAAGTGACATCATAAATAAAAGTAAATACAATATAGTGAGGTCAGGAAAAATTATATGGAGATCCATATTAAAACAAATCAACCAAACAAAACACCAATAAAAGTAAACAAACAAACAAAAAACCTAAAGACATTTTCCTGTAAAATTCAGGGCAACAGGGATGAGCTCTTCAAATAGATGTAACAATTCTCAGTGTCAGAAGAGCACTACAGTATGTCGAGAATGTTCACCATTCTTTGATTATTCTCTATCACATAATGACTTAGAGATGTAAAAGGTTTGCCTCCTTTAGTTGCCCAAAAACTTTTATACCTCGTTAAGCCTTACAAAAGACCCACCAGGTAAGTCCTGGAAAACAGAAGAATCAAGCACTGTGTTTCTTGTTTGCATTATATATGAAACTGAAGAACATAAAAAACTCCTTCATATCTTCACTCAGACAGAGTTTTCATCTGCTAATCTGGGAGAAAACAGGTAAATTCATACTAAAATATTTATGTATCCTTCTTCTTTTTATTAATTTTCAATTAAAATGTTAAATTAAACATTAAATTTTGAATAGAGGTAGATTTTAACTAAAAAAGAAAAAGCCCCTGTATTTTTTTGTACATAAACATCTTTAATTATCTCATATAAATGCAAAATATATTTTCTTAGATACACTAATAGTAGAATAACATTTGAAATTATTTGCACATTTTAACCTGAATTTAGAATAAAGAGAATCTCATGTTGTGTTAACATTTATCAAACTCTTAACACTATGCTAAACAGCACATTCCTCTCAGAAAGATGCTGATGCCTGAGCACTATTATCTGCTAAAAAGGGGGGAGGAATGGAGGTGTTGATGTAAGCACATAGCAGTAAATTTATATTACAAATATGGGATTTCTATCTGAACACGTTGTTATTTCTACATTTGTTCCTCAAAAAAAGCTAGGAAATCAGGTTTCATCTAGGTTACTAAAATAAGAGAACAGAGAAATCCTGAAAAGGCTGAAAAACCAAATTGAAGCAATCAGGCAAAATACCAACTTTGAAGCTAAGGTTCTTTTATGCTGTCACTGAAGACAGTTTCAAATGCTCTACTATATGAAAAACCACAGGAAAAAACTGAATTTTTGAGGTTGTTACTACCAGTATTTCACCCCAAAGTTATGGTGCCCTAAAAGTTACTCATGAAATAAATTAGCAATTCTTCTTTACTTACTTTATAATCCATTCATCTGGCTCAGTGTCATTATTTTACTGTTAATCTTGGTAAAGGGCAAATAATGGGGCAGAAGAGAAAAACACAAAAAATAAAAAACCCCATAAAACTATAAAATAAAATAATGAAAAATCTTTCTAGTTCTGGAATCTGATTATTTTTGTCAGAATTGCTATGCTCCCTATCACTTCTAATCCTATTCACCCTGCACATATTATCCTGGAACACAGTTTTGATTTTGAAATTTCACATTATCAGTATCTTGGCCTTCTGCAGAACTCT